TATATATATATATATATATATATACAGAATTAAAATACTGGCATGCTCATACAATGCAAGAATCTGATGTAGAATTGCCGGAACTCCATTAAATATTTTTATGGTTTTACTGATGCACTTTTGATTAAATAACCTTTAGAATGAAAATGTGTAGAGTTTATGTAATGAAGCAGATGAATCCACAATATTTTCACCAACACAAGGCATCCCAGGGATCTTTTGCATTACAAAAGCTTCTTGTGTAATTTGAAACACGACTGGACGTAATTAGCAGTACAGAGAAAATGAGCACCGAAAGAAAATACCATCCTCATACTTTTAATACGGAATCGATTACTTTAAAAAGCAAATCCACAGCAGGCAAAGCACTGGAGAAACGGTTCTGAAGAAAATTCTGCAAATTAAAACCAGGGCACCAGAAAGTTCTGGGTTGAACTAACAAATGATGCTCTTCTCTATTCAACTCTGCACAAACACGGGCTACAGGAGGCATTTAAATTGATTTATCAATATCAGCCCAGTTAATACTGTGTTCATTTAATGCATGGCTTAGGCTTCTGTAAAATCATTTTTCTAACTTCAGCATGGAACAGAATTAGCACCCTCATTTTTATGATAATATTGTTAATTTAATGCATGGCTTGGAGTTAGACTTCAAAGTGAATCAGAAAAATATGGCTTTTCTCTTGTCAGAGACATCTCTCTTCATGCACCAGTGGTCTGATCTTAAATTTTAACTTCAACTGCACAAAATCACTCTCATATTTCAACTGTTCTTTCATAATTCAATCATTTAGTTCATTGGTCTTAGATTGATTTTGCAATATCCTGCTCAGGAAAACTAAAACAAGTTTTAACATTATCTTTTCATGTTTATTCTCTGGAAAGATCTGGATTGGACACTTTTCAGAATACTCTATAAGATGCACTTAGGAATGAAGTTAATACAAACATGCAAAAATGGCTAGAATGGGCAAGGAAAGTCTTTTCCACCATTTAAATTCTTTTCCTCCTTTCCCCATTATGGCACTGAAAATCAAATGGCAATGATGAATTAGATTTGTACAAACGAAAAACCTACAATGTACAAGAGCTTCCAACATTAAAAATAAAGATTGTATTTTTTACTTTCTCTCTAAAACACTGAAATGTCTCCTCAAACATCTACCCAGCAAGCAAGAGAAAACTGACAGTGTAATGAAGGGTGAAATGATAATGTCCTCTCCCGTAAATGGAATCCAGCCAACTAGAACAATGCATTCAAACAGATTTGCAGGGCATTCTGAATGGAGTTTCAAACATCCCAGCCCCCTGTACTTACAAGAGCCTGCAGTGGGGTCTCCCTCTAGATGGGGGCAAGTGACCATTTTAGACAGATGGAGGAAACATGTACATCATATTACTAAAGCAATTTTGCCACTGTAGAAATAGGAAAAGGAGATGGAGGAAAAAGCCACCACCACAATTTGGCAAGGCAAAACTGGTGAACCACACTTAGGGTTGGAAGAGACAATTCAAGGGAATGCAAATGAAGACTTGTCAATTACAAATCTACTATTTAGGACCCTCAAAATATTGTTGTTATGGATTGAATGCTTGTGTCCTCCCCTTAATTCATATGTTGAAGCCCTTAACCCCCAGTGTGGTGGTATTTGGAGATGGGGCCTTTGGGAGGTAATTACGGTTAGATGAGGTCATGAAGGTAGGGCTCTTGTGATGGGATTGTACCCTGATAAGAGAAGATGTGAGAGAGCTTGCCCTCTTTCTCTTTCTTTCTGCATAAGCACAGGGAGAAAAGGTCACGTGAGCAGACAGCAAGAATGTGGCTATGTGCAAGCAACGAAGAGAATTCTCACCAGAAACCAAGTCCTGCCAGACCTTGACTTTGGACTTTCCAGCCTCTAGAACTGGGATAAAATAAATTTCTGTTGCTTAAGCCACCCAGTCTGTGGTATTTAGTTATGGCAGATGGAGCTGACTAATACAGTTTCTAAGTATGCAAACATTATAACCTGCTTAGTGGACATTCTGATAATACCTAACTCTGTGCAGACCCTCCTTCGGTGCAACAATTTCACTTCTAGAGTTTATTCAACAGAAGCACACCCAATCCTGCAAAAATATATGTATGAGTCCATTCACTGTAGCACTCTTGAGTAGAAAAGAGATTAGTAACAGCATAGTGTCCAGCAAAGGGGGACTGGTTAAAAAATTAATGCCAACTATAGAGGATGGAATGCTCTGTTCTTCAGGTACACTTGATACAATACAAGTATAGAAGCAAGTTGCTGAATATTCTGTAAAATAGGATTCTATTTTTGCGGGAAAAATATGTGTTCATATATATACAGAAAAATTTGGAAGAATATGTGCCAAATGGAAAGGGAATGGGAACATTTCTGAGTTGTTTAAAATTTTTACATATGTTGCCTATATTAAAAGCAATCAATACATTAGAGTTACTGCTAATTAGTGGTTCCTTTTATGACCTCAGGCTTTTAATATAAATTCAAACATATTTGATCCCATTAAGGGAAAAGAGTTCATGATTTTACTATAGAGGCTTCAAATGAAAAAGTTCAGAGTATCTTTCTAGTTGTCGAAATAATTATGTAAATAGTCTTGAAGCTGATCATTTATGTTGAAAACTAACAAACAGATGTACAGTGAGGGTTAATGGGCCCTCTAATGGGTTTCTTTATATAAGGGGCCAATTTGGGGTAAAAAAGAATTTTTTTTTCCTTAGCTGTTCTATAATAACTGGCATGTCTACTTTTAATTATCTTAATCACCCTCTCTTCATTATTGAGTTGACACTGTTTGTATATCTTAATGAATTTACAGAGATTATTTCAATCGATTGGTTTTGTTAACAGAACAATAAATCCTGACTGATAAAGGATTCACAATGTAATTAGCTAGCTCTTATTATGCAAATTTCTGATACTTCTGTAATGAGTAATTAAAGATTAAAAAGAAAGATAGTCCCAAATTAGCTGCTTCTTAACTGTAAATGCTTCAGGATGTGTGAGGATCAGCCCACGTCTGCATATTCACAATGAGCCTGGTAACTAAAGGAACTTTTCTTGATTTGGAAACCCAAAGTTCTGTCTGCAAAATCTCCTTCAAAGAGCTATGCCTGAGGCCATACAGTTTTACAGTAAGATGGTTGAGTGGTTCAACTATATTTTCTTCACTTCTGCTCAGGAAACAGGACAAGGGGAACCTGGACAGTTTCTGAGTCCTCACTGTGCCACTTTTTCTGAGTGTGTGACCTAAAGGCAGTAGCTGCTACCTCCTGGTGCCTCTATCTCCAGGCTATGCGGTACAGAGCTCGGGTGAATATCCAATGAGATCATCTACACTGGGACACTTGGCAGTGATGCTCCATGGAAAGCAGCTGCTGGTATAATTCATTCAACAAGAATTTAAATTACTATTTGCCAGGTACTGTCCTAGGCACTGGGGATAGTACACTGAATAAACAAGACCAACCTCTGTTCCCATGGAATTTATTATTCTCTTCCTTTTCTTCTTTAGGGCTTTTTAAAATCTGAAGCTATTAAATCATGGTGCCCTGCTGTTGTGCCTTTTTGCTCCAAGTCTCATCAGAAGCTGGCAGGACACTAATCAAGCAATCCCCTCTGCAAGCCCAGTGTCACTTCAATACCCATGCCCTCTGCCCAGTGAATAAAAGTGGATGTTATAAAAAAATAAAAATAAAAAAAAAAAAGTGGATGTTATGCCCATGCAGAAGGCTGTCCAGAAATAGGGTTCCATGATGACACACTCTGCTCAGGGGCCCGGAGAAGCCATGCAGACACAGGAACAGCATTCTTGGAGCATGTCCATGCCACTCATTCTTCAAATAGCAGCCCTTCTTTCATACCCTAACACTGGCCTCCTGTGTACCAGCTTTGGTTGTCCTGGCAGGGACCCTGGGAGTGATGTGACTGCACCTGCATCACAGCTGCAGGCAGAGGCAGACTCAAGTGGTTCATCCCAAGACGCGGCACTGTATGTGTCCAAATTAGCATTCAAAACTAAGTCCCATCCCTGAAGCCAAGCTCTGTCTTCTCACCACACCGCCTCCACTGCCTGCTGCAGCCACTCCATGTCCCAGAGAGAGGGGATGTGGAAAAGCACAGGTGACCAGCACACAGGAGCACCCAGCAATGTATTCAAGGAAAACAACCAGGCTCATTGTGGCTATCATCTTTGGAAAAGAGTGGGAGGGAAATAAGGAACATGATGAGACTTATACCAGAGAACGGGGGAGAAGAGGATAAAGAACTGGAGATGGACTCCTGAATTAGTGCTCCTGCCCAGGCAGTGTGTTCATGCCCGGGCTTGGTTCCCGAATCTCCCACTTCCCAGCTCTGTGACCTCCGCAAGTTACTGACACTCTCAATCCCTGCAACCTGACTTGAGAAAATGCCAAAACCACCCCCTACACGCTAGGGCTGCTGTGAGGAACGAAGATAATACCAATATGAAGATTAGGCAAATGGCACACAGTAGGCACTTAATAAATGCCACTTTTGTTTCTGAAGCTGAGATAAAGTACCCTATGAGCCTTAAACTGCTCTCTACATTTTTGTTGTCTTACCATCATGATTACTATTACTATCATTGTCATCAGACTAACCTAGCTTAAAATTAATTTCCACATGAGAAAATCTAGTAGTTTAAGGGAAATCTCGCTAGGTCTAATTCCCCAAGGTTCTGAAAGGGTTGGTTCTCCAGGAAAACTAAATCTGGTGCTACTCTTCCAGATAATAGTGCCTGAGAGCTAGGTGAGAAAAAATGTGCTCAACTGCTTTCCCAGTGACTGAAATCCCTCCAGTACCACGATTCAGTGAACTCACGTGGGACTAATGAGACCTCATCCTAGGGCATCTAATGCTATGTATACAAAAGCAATAAGAATGTTAACTGCTTGCTGATAAAAGATCACATGAACTCAAAGTGCAAAGAAAGTACAAAACAGCTGCAATTACGGCAATTATGTTGAAGAAGTCGTCATCCCCCAGCGTATCCAAAATAGATGAGACTGTTTGCTTTGCGATCGTCAGACGGAGCCCTTTCATGCTGCCACTGACATCCACTAAAATGACCACGTCTTTCGGAGAAGTCGCTGCCTGGATGTACCTAGATCAGAGGAAAATTAAGTAAAAATGAATCCTGAATCTCTAGGCAAGTTTCCTCTTTTAAAAAATAACTAAGAGGTTTGACCGTTTCCTACCATTTTCGGTTCCTGCAGTCAAAGGCAATGACTCCATTCTCATCTGGTTCCCATTTAATCCCTAGAAGAAAAATGGAGTTATAAGAAACCCAGAAACTTCAAATATTTATTCACAGCATTTCAAGGCTGCTCTGCTTTGCTGATTGAATGAACAGGGTGAAAAATCACATGCAAACACCGACCCTGGAGCTCATCACATGTTCCATCACCAACTCTGGGAAGGTGCTTTAGGGCTGGAACGCCATAGCAAACACGGCCTTAGCTCAGGCACTCCAAGATCTGCTAGAGAGTGGTGACATCTTTAGTAACCCACTGTCCATCAAGAAAGGACATGACTCCAGCCCCTTCCCATGGCTAATGATAAAGTTAGCCAAGGTCATTTCTCACTGTCCTTCAAGTTGCTGGACCTGGCTGCATCATTCATGGATCTCTGGGCAGGGTCAGGCCCCGTCCCTGGACCCAGATAGGTATATGTCTAGGGCACGGGGGGTAGAAAGCATTCAATGTTTCCATCTCAGAATATACACAAGTCTGTTCTCTTTTCAGTTCTGTTTTGTCTTGGCCTTCTACACTGAAATGAAATAAAATGGCCCTAACTATACTGCATAATAAAATTTCAATTTCAGTCTTTGAAGCCTGGGGGTTTTTCTCCTTACGTAAAATGGGATCCAACATCCTTAGTCTCATGGCTTGCAGACTGGTCAGGATATGTCCAAGGTTCACATGCTCTATTTACAACTTAATCTTTATGAATAAACTTTCATTTAAAAAGAAAAGGGTTTGCTGCCTAAAAATAAGATAGAAAATCATTGTTTTCAACCATCAGCACTGCTCAGGGATGGAGGATTAGAAACACAGATTTTGGAGTTAAGAAAATAAAACAGAAAAACTATTTTCACAGCAGAAAATCCTGACTTTGTAGCATTGAGATTCTCCTTTCCAATTAATAAGGGTCAGTTTTCTAGACCACACTGGGCCAATAATAGGCACGTGCTTAAGATAACATCACTAAATTATTCCAGAGATAATCATGAGATGGCAGCTTGTAAACCAAAGAGTCATTTTGTTTTGTCCTCCTTGTACCTACATTTCCCACGTGCAAATGGACCTAATTTAAAAGTTCTCTGTAACAAATTGGAAAACAGAAGTATGAGAAGCCATTGCCAATTGAAGGTTATTAGGTAATGAAGATAAAATAAAAGTGACATAATATATTGTACACTAAAGGAGAAGAATGCAATTTATTTTAAAAACATCTGACATACTACATTTGTATAAAGCCAAGTACAGCTAGGATGACAGTCTTCACACATAATGAAATTATATATATAGTGAGGCTAGGTAATGTTCCAATGTGTAATTCCACAAAGAACTGGTTTGAGTCCAAATAAAGAGAATTTTTTTTAATGTGTTGATGCATGGTAGACATTCAGTGGACATTCTTTGAGTTGAATTGTGGCCAGTGTTTTTAGACCACAACCATATCTGATCATCCTCCACCTCACCCGTACTCTGCCACCCTTCCTCCATCACAGCCTTATCACCATGTGCTCCACTGGGGGAGAAAACATTCAATTCTGTTTTACTGTCCTAGCATTTAGGCCAGGGCCTAGGAAGAAGGAATTAATGACACTCAATGCTCTCCTTTTGGATTGAGGTCCTTTCCCTGCAAATGGGCTTGTAACTCCACCCATGCACTGCTGAAACTTGGTGCTTTTCAAAAAGGCTCTAGGGAAAGAATCCTTCCTTGCCTCTTCTTAGCTTCTGGTGGCTCCCAGCAATGCTTGGTGTTCCTTGACTTGTAGCTCATCTTTCCAATTTCTTACTCCATCTTCACGTGGCTGTCTTCCCTCTGTGTCTGTATGTCCTCCCTTCTCATAAGGACACCAGTTACATTGGATTTAATCCTAATCCAGTATGATCACATCCCAGCTATATTAGATCTATTTCCATGAAAGTTCACATCTGAGGCTCCAGGTGGACATGAATTTGGAGGGACGCTATTCAACCCACTACATGTAAGAAGCGTAGGACTTGTAAAACAAAAGTGAGGGGTGGCCACAGGGTAAAGAGGATTACCCCCGGGCACAGAGAACCATGTTTGCCAAGGTATGAGAAGAGCATGTCAAGTTCAAGGAGCTGAAGGAAGGCTGGTGTGGCTGTGCAGAGAGGATGTCTATAGCAAGGAAAGAGCCTGGGTGACAGCAGGAACCAGGAGGCCCACGCCCTTCCTGGTCAGGACAGGAGGTACATACTAAGAGGATGAAGACAGTACCTCAACACAGTTCTAGGCACAGCTGCCCTGGATATAACAATAAAGGTCACACTTTGACTCAAAGACAGGGTTGTATGGGCCCTGGAGGATCATCTCACCCACACCTAACCTTTGCGCCCAAATCTTCATTTCACAGCAGGGACTCCAAGGCTCTCAAAGTTCAACAGATTTTCCTGAGATTTCTAGTTAGGACTGGGACTTGATCTCGCAAATCCCATGCCACCATTCTCTTCCTTACACAGCCAGTATAAGGAGGTTCCATGAGAATTTACTGTATCTTAGTGTCAGTTAAGTGTATAAAAGTAAAACTGGTTTCCATGCCATGGGAGGAACATCTGAGGGCCTTTAATCAGCTTATGTTCATCTTGAACCTCTGCTGCTGGGGCAGCAAGAGGCAGCATTTACCAAACTAATCTGACCATTGAGCCCTTCCTTTCCCAAGAATCTCACAACAAAATGATTTAGGAGACAACCTTCAGGAAACCCTGTCCCAGATGGTACTGTCTCTCCTAGGACATTTCAGCATTTTAGTATGTACTTTTTTGTACACACAGATATTTTGAAAATGTTCAAGTAATCAAATCCCAGAGAAATAATAGTTGGTTCATCTTAAATCTCTGAGATCCAAGAACTGTCACTTAACCAAGGAGTACCCTCAGGAGCCATATCATTTCTGGAAGTGTCAAATGCCTCATGGGATCCCTCCAGGCTGGCTGGGGCATGACTCTCAAGATAAAAGGAACAGTGCAGTTCAGCAGCAGCTTTCACTGCCATTCAGCCTTCTCTCGGCGGCACTCCAGACTTCAGGACCAGCATCAGTGATGCCTGCCCTGCCTTCCTCGGCCTGCCTTCCTCAGCTTTCACAAGACAAGGTCCCTAGAACATTCAGCATATCCACAGGTGAAACTGAAAATAATGTCAAAATCTCTACTGCAGACTCAAATGCTCAAATCTGATTAGATGTAAAATATTGTACAATATTCCTATATACTATTGTTTCTCTCCCAAAGGCATTATAAACTAATATTGGAGGGAAATTAATTTCATCTAAGGCAACATATGTCTTCATAATCTTCTTGGCACATGAAAATGAAGAGTAAGGCCAACAGAGCAGAGCCTAACTCAGCATCATCTGAAAGTCAGGTGATTCACAGAATGTGTTCCCTGCTGGCGCTGGCTGGAACTGGGTCTCTGCCACTGGCAACCAAAATCTCTAACGAATGCACTTCCCCACCAGTGGGAGCTTCGCGAGGGCAGTGACCTTTTCCGCTTAGCTCACCATTTTATCCTCAGGGCCCCACACAGGGCTTGGAACAAAGCAAGAACTCAGGACACACTTATGTAAGAATGAAGGAACTTCCCTTCTGCTTACGACATTTACACTTAGCACTGATTCATACTATTGTACCACTCTGAACATGAAAAGAAGCATCCTAAAAAGAAAAAAAAAAAATCCTAGCAAAAAAAGCCCATGGATCCCTCATCTAACAATCATTTTATGTCCAAGAAACAAGAGGTGTACTCTGTTCAGAACCAAGCACTGAGTGAGCACTGACACGTATCAGGGCAGTGAAGCCCTTTGGAGGACTGTGACCTATGTCTTTATTCACAAAGAAAATATGCAGAAATTTTACAAAGTCAAAATTCTGCCACCAATATCAGAAAAGAACTGTAAGCATTTCTGAGTCAACCGTTCTGATTCTGACTGATAAAAATCTTGTACATAAATTAATCTCTCCAATTAGAGAAACCCTTTATGAGAATTTTCTTTTGTTATGGACTGAATGTTTGTGTCCCACCAACATTCATAGGTTGAAGAACCCTACGTTCTGGTATTGAGAGGTAATTTTCTTTGCGAGGCAATTAGGTTTAGATGAGGTCATGAGAGTAGAACCCCCATGATGGGATTAGTGCCCTTCCAGGAAGAGTAAGAAACACCAGAGCTTCCTCTCTCTCCCATGTGAGGACACAGGAAGCAGGCAGCCGTCTGCAAGCCAGAAAGAGGGGTCTCACCAAGAACCATATCTGCCAGCACCTTGATCTTGGTCTTCCCAGCCTCTAGAACAATGAGAAATAAATGTCTGTTGTTTAAACCACCGAGTCTGTGGTGTTTTGTTACGGCAGCCCGAGATGACTAATACATCTCTATTATCAGATTTTAAATTTGAAACTTTCAATTTAGTTTGAAGACTTCCTGCTGGTGGAGACAACAGATGATCTGTGGTTTCTTCTTATTTGCTCCACCTTCATCCAAATGCCACGTGGTAAGATGTCCTTGTGGCTTCCCTGATGGATCAGCCCCCCACCATGCTCTATTTTCACAACATCTGCATTAAATTTACTCTCCGTTGAGTGTATCAAAGCAGACTGCAATTTGGTGACACTAGAACTTTAACAGACCACTGTTTATTATAATGTTATCTTTAATAGAATGCTTATTGTTTAAATTTCTGTGAGCTCCAGGAGGAACCATGCATGCCCTGCTGAACACAGCTCTCGGGAAATGTTGAAAAATCTGGCAAAGCAGGCACTCGGCAGGCAAGTCTCAGGGGACAGATGCTAAGTGCAGGGCAAACAACTCCTGAAGGCAGAGGCTGGCAGTCTCTGTGCCTCAAAGTGGGAAGACATCAGGTGCCTAGGCTTACTTAATGAAAACATAAAAGACTCCACTTAATTGCTCCAAGATTATGCAGGGCGTTTTTTTCCTTCTTTTAGGTTGAGCTTGTTAATTTCTACAGCTGTGATGTTGGCACAATTGCAGCCTCGAGTCCTGTTTTCACAACTTGTAAGCAAAATTAAAACTTCCTTTTTTAATTACAATTCAAACCAAGCCAGAATTAAATTCCTGTTGCAAAGCAGAGGCCTGGGAAGACCCTAGAAGGAACACTTGTTCCAAAGTCACGATGGACAAACTCTGACAAACATATTCATTTGAGGGTGCTCTTGGTGGCACTGACGTCAGTAGTGCTTTGGCCATTTCAACCTCTCCTTTCAGGAGCAGTCAGCTTTAGAGTAGGGAAACCTAAGCTCAAATGTTTCCATTTCTTACATTTTTCAGTCAGAATTTAACTCAGCCCATTATGGATTACTCCTTTCCCTGGTAATAATAACAACAATAATAGTAATAGTAGTAATAGTAATAAAAGCAATCTCTTGTCCAGAAAGATGAAATATGATACGTTTCACACTCCAATACCTCACTTTAGGTGGCAGCTCTATGAATAACTCTATTGAGGAAGATGCTGAAACCACACGTAGATCCAAATGTGGGTGTGCACACGTATGCAGATGCCACACTGCATTCCTGTCCTGTACCCTCACAAGAGATTTAATAGATTTGAACTTAATCTTTCATTTTCTTCTAAGGGAAGGGAAAAAATTGTTAACCCTTAACCCTAAAGGAAAATATCACAGGATCAGTAACTTGAATCATAATTCTCAATGCAGGGATACTCACCTGGATACTGCCTAAAAAAGCCCTTTGCACTTCCAAAGTACTGCCATATGAGACTCGGGTCACGATCAAAGTTATCTACAAAAACTTTGTTTAGGGACTCGGACCAATAAACCCCATTGACAATTGCTGGATCTGGGGAAAAAAGGCGGGGAGAGAGAAGAGGAATGTTACAAACCAAAGTGAAACAGAACCCCAGCTGGCATCCCACGTAGCTGGCAGATATCACCATGGGGCCCATCCTGCAGGAAGCTGTGAAGAAAGTTATAGCTCCCGAAATGTTTAGCTCCTGGGAATTCCAGCTTTATGTACATTAGAGTTTCCCCATCCTGCCTGAGCCCTCTAAGCCACCCAGGAGACTCTACTGATGACTCCTTACTTGAAAGGCACATCCCTTTTTGGGTTACTTTCAATCTGGCTGAGCAAATAGTTCAGAGAAAGCAAAGAGAGACTTTCTTAGCATTCTGTTCCACTTTTCGGCTCCTGAGTCAGAACTCAGCATTGAAAACAGGAAAAATGTGTTTTCTGTCACTGCAGTCACCTCAGCCAACGCAGCCCTGTTCCAATTCTCTCCACCTCTAACTTAAAAGTCTGCTTTAAAAATAAATAAATAAGTAAATTGGAATTACATAACTAAATCTCTCTACCTCTTTTGTTCAGCAGATTATGAGCTCCATAAGGGCAGGAACAATCTTGCTTTGATCTCCTGCTGCACACCTTTGACCAGCACGTGGCAGAAACTCCAAAAATGTATGGATGGATAAAGAGATGAATGGATGAATGGATGGATGGATGGACTGATGAATAAAAGGCTGTTCTCCAATTCCAGACAACTATCTACTCTTCTGCCCTGTCATCCCATGAGCAAATGTCTTTTCCTCACCCTTGGGAGCCCAAAGATAACCCCTTGTCTTTTATCCACAGATGAGAATTAAGAGTGAAGACAAAGACAGAAAATATATACTTCTTGCATACTGATCAAAGCATGGTGGATCACTGAGGATACTCTTTAACTGTCCACTTTTTTTTAACCTTGGAAGATCCTGTTTCAAAATAATGCAACACTCAGCAAAATTTTGTTGCAAGAGTATAGATAATTGTCCAGTCCCAGTATGATGAGGGTAAGGATGACAATAGGATGAGCATGTTAATAGTTAGGAAGAGGAGGAGGAGGAGAAACCTTTGTTGAGTCCTTCCTGCAAGGCAGGCACTGTGCTCATCTTCACTCCTGTCACCCCCACCACAGCCCTCCACAGCAGGTCCACTGTTGTTCTCCATGCTATACAAGTGGAAACGGAGAACCAGGAGGTCAGGTTCTTTCCTAAAACACCCAACTAGCAAATGGCAAAGCCTCTTATCTGTGATTTCCTTATTTGTAAAATGGGGATAATAATACCCAATAATTTGGCCTGTTTGGAAGGTAAAACACATTGGCAGAAAGGCACTAATGGCCATAGGCATTCACAAAGTCATCAAGGGAGCTTAGTCCAATCCCCTGGAGTCCAGCACCCTCACCAGAATTCCCTGTGGAACTGTGAATCACAGTAACCCCACTGTGGCGTCCTCATTCCAAAGATCCCTCCATACTACACAGACAGCGGGTATGGGGACAGATTCCCTCAGTCTAGCCCATAAGTTGCACAGCAAGCCAACGAAAAAAGTAACTCTAGAAATGCTTATGTAAATTAGGTACACTGCAAGGAAACTCACTGTTGGCACTGTGCTAGCCACTCCTCCTCCTCAGCTGCCTGCCCTTTGCCAGCTGGCTGCCCACAAGATGTGGAGGATGAGACAGAGCCGCGATATGACGCCTGACCCAGTGGACAGACATGGCGCCTTGTCTTACTGTCTTACCTCCAGCCTGTCTCATTCTTTCAGACCACTTACACGGATTCAACAGGCAAGCGGGATTCTCACTCTCATCTCAAGGGCAAATGCTCTAACTCTTGTAAACTATAATAAACCACATCATAGACTGGGAGAGTGAAAATGATCAAGTCAACTCTGTCCTGTAAAGTAATTTTGAGTTAAGACTATCCTCACCATCCTGGAAAATGGAGTTCTTTATTGTTCCTGTCCAGGCTTTACAATAATTACTGTGACTCACTTCTTGCTACGAAAGCCACTTAAATTAATCCAAGAAGGTGCAAATACAATAATGACAGTGAAAAATCCACGGTTCTTGCCTCTTCCATCAATAACTTCAATTATAAAAACCTTCCACAATTAGAAGCGAAAATTCCATTTCACAGGCTCCCTGTCTCAACATGTTAAGGGGTTCACCAGTTTCCAGTTAGACAATTCTTTTTTCTTGAGCATGATTTCTCTGGGGGTAGTATCTCCAGATGGCCCTACTAACCTAAGATTGTTCCTCCCTCTGCGAACTGTGAGCACCTTCAGAAATTGAAAAAGAACTGTAGTGCCTGAGGATCATTTCATCCACTTCATTTGGATACCACATCTTGCTCTGAAATTATGTCTCTTTAAGAACAGAAGGCTTTGGTTTTCCCAGGGTATGATGAATAAGGGAAGTAGAATCACTAAAAAATATGGTCTAGTTAAAATAATCTAAGGGGTTTAACGGACTGTATTAGCTTCACGTGGCTGCTGTAAGAAATTACCACAAATTGGGGTGGGGGTGGGGGCTTAAAATAACAGAAATGTATTCTAGAGGCCAAAAGTTCAAAATCAAGGTGTTAGCAAGATTGGTTCCTTCTGGAGGCTCTGAGGGAGAATCTGTTCCATGCCTCTCTCCTGGCTTCCCGTGGTCGCCAGCAACCCTTGACGTTTCTTGCCTTATAAACACATCATTCCGATTTCTGCCTCCATCTTCACTTGGCCTCTGTGGGTCTCTGTGTCAAGTCTCCCTCTCTTTTTTCTTTAAGAAAACCAGTCACTGGATTTGGGGTCCACCCTAAATTCAACATGAGCTCATCTCAAAATCTTTAGCTTAATTACATCTGCAAAGACTCGAATTCTAAATAAGGTCACATTTGAAGGATGTACTGGAGGTTAGGACTTGGACATATCCTTTAGAGGCCACTATTCAACCCATTACATGTACTCATACTCTCTTAATTATCCTATACAATATACCCATATTCTATGGTTGTTAATGTACTGTTTTTAAAATCTGAGTTTAATAGATGCAGGCCTTTTTCCTAGTGAAGGATGTTTAAAGGCCTTCTCCCTTTTCTTCTTTATGGGAACAATTCAGATTTTCACGTCTGCATTGTAATTTTATGAGCTTACAATTCTTCCTGACCTCTTTCAATGGGTCCTACCTGTAGTGCAACAAACTGGACTAAAATCATTTCCCTTAATGTTTAGTGTTGTGTCAATGCCCAGCCTCTCTGCTCAATAAAGTGAACTCCACATAACATGGTCATTTTCCCAATGTTCCTGTCCATTCTGCATCAACTTATGATTCATATTGGTCAATATCAAGTCCAGGAATAGCAATTCTTCCTCCTGTTTCCTCTACCTTCTGAGAGATTAAATTACCTCCAACGCCAGTCAAAAATTTATCAGACGTTCAGCTTTTAGTAAAACAGACTACTAGCAGAAGTTTAGAGAGTAAGAGTCCCATACCACCTTTCTGATCAATTTGCAATTTGTATCTGAAAAGCACTCACACATCCCTGCTCTGTTTTTATAATACATCATACAATCCATCAAAAAATCACATTTGTAGCTTCCTTTTTTATTTCCATCCAATAACTGCTCTCATCTGTGCTTTCCTCTGAAGCTTGCACTTTGCTACATAGGGGTCACCTGATGTTGCAGACGGCTAACGTTCTCTCTGCACACTCCCCCTTACACACATGCACACACATTTCCTTTTAGTTCTATTTCTGTGAATGAGTAACCATCGCATTTCAGTCCCGAGTTCCATCCTCCTGTGACCTATCTGAGACGATGAGCCTCAAGCAAATTAATGTATGTAGAACACTTAGCACAGCAACTGGCACATACAAAACACTCCATACATACTGGCCATTATTTGCTTCGTGTCTTAGCAAATAAATAAGGTTCCAAGAAGACTCCCAACTTTCCTCCCTGTTCTCTGCAGCGTGCCTCTGGGCAGCACCCCAACATTGCAGTCACCAGTCTGGAACTTGGGCTCTGGAGCTGGAATCCCAGGTTTGAGACCTCACTCTACGCTTGTTAGCTAATGGCTTTGGACTTGTGACTTAACTTCCCTGTGTCCCAATGTCTCCATCTGTGGAAGGCAAATGAGAGCAGCCCTCCCTCAAAAGCTGGTGGTACAAGGCACATAGGTGCCCAGCAGCAGGAGGGCTCCACCAGGAGGGTACATCACCAGTTGCAGCTCTATGGTGAGTCCCCAACTCCCCACCCAGGGCAGTCCAGCTGTCGTAGGAACATCCAGGTAAGGCTCTACCTATGTGTCTTCCTCCCTTCCTCAAATTATCAGGGTCAGGCACTCTCGATGATTCTTCCATTTGTTCATCTGATTAATATTTATTGAGCACCTACTATCTCAGGCATTCAGCACTGAACCAGATAGATCATGAAGCTGACATTTCAGTCTGACGAGGGGAGACAAGGGAAAAGAAATGAGAATTCCAAATAGAAATGGGTGTGATGAAGACAAGTAAAAGGGATGGTAGGCTTGAGAGTTACCCTGTGTGATTAGTTGGGGAAAGTGGAGTTACTCAAATTGGGCGGTCAAAAATGACCTCTTTGAGGAGAGCCCTGAATGCAAAGAAGGCATCAGCTCAAAACCCCCTTGGCCAGCAAAAGCTTTCTAGGCAAAGAGAACAGCAAGTTCTGAAGTCTGGAGCTGGGAAGAAACCCATGTCTTAGGGAACAAAACAACAAAGCCACAAGTATTACTAGAGCCTTGTGAGCAAAGGAGAGAGTTACAGGATGGGGCTGGAGAGGTGGGCAGGCCATGGTGAGGATTTTAGCAGATCAGCAAAGTTTCCTGCCAAGTATACATTTTCTAACAGACGTAATCTGTGCTCCACCAGTGCCAAGGCCCATCATGCTTTTATTCATGGTTCAAAAATCAAATTTCTTTTCTTCTGAAACCTATAGCCAGCATAGCCTACTTCCTTTTTCCAGGACACACCCTTCAAACAATCAGGATCTTTATGGATGCCTTAGTATTT